ATGGTACAGAAGGAAAAGTTTTGGTGAAATAATAAAGTTTAAGTCGTGTTTCTAAATTGCTATATCTTTGAAGAAATTGTTTTAAAAAATAACTAAATATTTAATAAGATGTTTAGACAATAGCTAGTGCAGGCTGATTGTTTTGGGCCGAAATCAATAATTTTATCAAAATTTTATATTAATTACTTTATAATTTTAGAGAGTTAAAAAAAGAATAATTTTATTAAAATTTGAATAGAGTTTTTTTTTATATAGAAACTATATCTAAAATTTTGTTCTATTTAAAAAAAAATACAATAATCCCAATCAACAAATTCTAAGTAAATTTAATATATTCTCATATTTTATAATTACAAGTAGCCACAAGAATAGTAAAAATAAAAATTATATATACATGCAAAATAAATTAAAAATAATTCAATAATATAATATTCAAATAATTCTAAATTGTATAAATATAAATGATCGATTTATCTATGTTTATATTGTCTATTAAATTATCTAGGTTCACCCAGTAGCATTACTGAATTTAGCTCCGGTACTTACCCAAGTGATGTCATCATTTGCCATGACATTAATTAGTCTCTCTAAAAGTTTAAAGTCCAGTGCAGCAAATATTTAACCAGCAGGACACTATAGCGTGAACTTTGTTATATTTATCAGTATTACAAAGATAAAATGCAACTTCCTTGACCCTCCTATAATAAGAAATCAATACAATATTAATATTAAATTAAAAGATAAATACATAAAACGTTAACCTAATATTAATAAAAAAGCGACAATGTCAAACTATACTATCTTGTCAAATGTTTATTTCAAATAGTATCATTCACCTAAACTTTTAAATTTGTTGTGATAATTTAATAAAAAAATCAATTTTATATCATGAAATCATGGATGATATTATTGTAATTATAAATTATGAATTATAATTTTTTTATTTAAGGATTTTAGAAGTTTTAGTTGTTTAAAAAATATTATAATGAATTTTTAAATAATTAGATATTGTTTATTGAATTTTTTAAAAAATGTAAAATATTATTCTATGTATAAAGTTAGAATATAAGATATAATTAAAAATGTTAGGATATTCCATGTAATTTATCTGAAATTAAAACGGTGAAGTTAAACATCCGGACCCTGCAGTCATAAAAAAGGTAGGCAGACAACTCACTTTTACCATCGCAACGAGGATATTGAGGTCTCAAGTCGACTAGCAAAAAGTGGTAAAGATGAGGTCTCTATAAGTCCCCACCAAAAGTGCCGATCTACTCCTGTGCTGGTTACGTTTTGTAAAAACTCTTTTAATCGATTGTCACGGGCAGCACCTGAAATTTTTTTTGGAGGTTGAAAAAACAAATTCAAGTCTTGATGTTTTTATTTTTGGTGGCTAATAATTTAGCATTGAAATTTCATGACCAGTCTCTGTATTTAATTTCAATCAAGTTTTATAAAATATTATAAAAGAGTATTCATTTAATTTAATTTAAAAAAATCTAAATTCAATAAAAATAACAAATAAAAATACTTATGATGATAATATGGATTATTTTTAAAATTGATAAAAAAATCCTACATGAAGCATGTAGAAAAATTAATGAAGTCCAACCTTTAATTAAATAAATATTAAAAAAGAGGATTAAAAAAACATGAGTTGATAAAATATCATGAAGTAACCATCTCATATTTTTATTTAATTAGTTAATTTTATTTAATTAGAAATATATATATTTTTAAAAAATTAAATTTAACAAAGAACAATAAATAAAAAGACCCCATACAACTCAGGTCATTTTTTAAATCAATAAAAAATTCTATAAAAAAATAAAGAAATTGATGGAACCTGATTTTCAATTGAATAAATACTAAAGTATAAAACTAGATAAAAAATATGAGCTTAAAAAAAATAAACAAGCAAACTTATATGAATTTTTTAAACCCGAGTTAATCTCTAAAACTCGTAACTTGTGAAATTTTAAATCATAGTTCAATTAAGAAACTTAATTTCTAACCAATATAATAATGAAAGATGAAATTAAAAAAAAATTAATGAAAAAATAACAATCAAATGAATGAAAATCAAATTTAATAAGAAAAAAACTTAAGGATAATGAAATTGTAAGAAGAAATCGATTTAAAAAAATTATCTAAAATAAAATAAATAGTAATTGAAAAAAAAACTCAAAAAATTAAAAAAAAATTAAATAGGTGAAATTGAAAAGGAGTTTTAAAATTATAAATTATTTAAAATAAAATAAATAATAATCGAAAGAACATGAATCAAATGTGAATGAATATCAAATTAAATGGCTGCTTAAAAATATTGAAGAGGCATGCATGGAAATTAAATAGAAAAGAAAAGAAAAGAAAAAGGTCATGCTGAGCTGAAATTAATAATCATTGCTAATACATGCTGACTTATAGCAGAAACACCATTAAGATAATTCAAACTTCATTGTGAAAGGCAGTGTTTAACCACTAAGTAGCCTTACATGCATCGTTTAAAGGACACAGGGTCACTTACACATGCATTGTATGTGTCAATAATTTTTTTATAATAATATTTAAAGTTGTTAAATTACAAAATTACCCATAAATAAACTTGATAATAACATAAAGAAAAACTAAAAATACAAAAATACTTTTAGAAGTTGGTGCAAGAGAATTCAACTTTTAAAAGCATGGCTATATTATTTTTGCATGTATTTTAAAATTCCTGTAGTTTATAGTATGATTATTAAACCTAGTTTAACTTATGACCTGATATAAAACTTGTATTATGAGTTAGATTAGGCCTTACTTTAATTAATTTATAATAACATTATTTTAATAATTTATTTTTTTAATAAAAAAAATTAAACCATCTTTTAAATAGGTGATCACATCAACATTCAATTTGATATAAAAATTTATTCAAGTTAGGTTATAAGATGACGGACTAACCAATCAGACAGGGTTCATAACAACACTGGTTAGTAAACCTTCTCAGTTGCATTATCATAAAACAGGAACTTCGAATGTTAAAACTCGAATTGGAGTTCATTTAATAAAGCTATTACAGATAACCGGTGAACAAACAATGCATGCCTGCGTTAATTTACCTCTCCGCCGTAGCTGGCTAGCTGCCATGTCTGAGCAATCACCGTTCTGATTTTCAGTTTTAAAGAATTTACCAGTTTATACGTACACTTCAGAATTTGTGGCCATGTAGTCATTTGACCTGACAAGAGCTAGAATCATGCCGTTGCTTTCATAAACAATAGAAAAATCCGTCATTGACCTTGATCATGACATGAATTACAAGTGAATGTCAATGGTTTTAAAAATAAATAAAAGCCCCATGATTCGTGTTTTTCCAATATTAAAGTAGAGATTTGTATTGTAAAAGCTAAACTCGTTTGAGACAGACAATAAAATATAATCCGAGCTGTATTGTTCATCGAATCATAGTAGTATTTGATCACAAGAATCACAACATAAAATAGAACAAAAAAATCATAAAAATTATGGGGTGGTAATAAATTGGCTGATTTATCCACAAAACAAATAAATATGAACTAGTAAGAAAACATAGATTGGCCACAAATAAGTATCGATATTGTCTTTTCTTGAATTTCAAGAAAAATCTAATTATCTAAATGAATTTGATTGTTGGCAACCAACCAAAGCATTGCCACCAAATCACGGGTGCAGATTCCATTTCCTGACCTAATTGAAAAATCAAACAAAGCATGATTTTTCGACAAAAAGAGGGCATGGATTGCTAATTTAATTATCTATCCAACCTCATGACCAGCGGACCAACCCTTCCCTTCTCCATTCATAATTTCTCTGCCGTGAAAGAATTCCTTCCATAATCTTACATCTCTCTAATCCAAGCACATCTCGACTGTAGGAGATTAACAGAGCAACTGGATTTTTTATAGGGTTGGTTTTACCCATTTATATGCACAATGCGGTGACTGGATTTAAAAAAAAACTATGTACATTTTTATAGCCTAATTAAAAGAAATTAGGCTTGATGTTATGGTAAAAGAATAAAAATTTTAAAGATAGAGGACTAAGATATAAAATATAAAAAAAATTTATAGCTAACCCCACACTGGCAATAATTCCCATTAAGCCAAAAGTTTATTTTCATGTTTTCTTAGTAATTGAGTTGGAAAGATGATAGACAATCTCATGTAAAATTGCAAAGATAGAAGAAGTGATTTGTTGACAGTAATTTTGACTATAAATAATATCGATTTTAATATTAAAAAACTCAAAAGTTTAATTAAAGAGTTATTTGATTATTATCTAAAATAATGAATTTTATCGATCCAGGTTGGTTTTTGTTTCTAACCTAATTTTTAATTATTTGTTGTTAAAAATGAGTTTATTTAAATATTTTTAAAAAAATCATTCATCCTTCTTTTCAAACAATCCATGCGATGTCCGAATTCTAAAAAGCAGACAACCTTATTTTTCATTTTTTTAAAAGGGTTGTTTTATAAAAATAAAACAAGGCGCAGCAGCGCGGCCTGTCAGCTACTGCTGGATATTCCAAAATAGGTACCGAATTAATTAATAAATTATCGTTGAAAAGGAAAAACAAATGGGCTTTTAAGGCATTACCTATCCATTTGCTGTCCTGTCAGTTCGTGTTGCCATAAATAGGTGCTCGTAATAAAGGAAAAGGGCAAAAAAAAAAAAAAAAAAGAGCAGCAAATTATAAATAGTCAAGGAAGGAAGAAGTGGAGGCAAATTTGAGTGAGTAAAACCATTTCACTGCAGATCCATGCTGTTGACCCTATTTTACTGGATTTAAATCAAGGAAATAGGAAGCGCTGAGTTAATTAGAGTCGAACTGTTTTTTTACTTTAACCGCCAAATTATTAACCATCCAAGCATGTGGATCTTGGTTCACAGACGATAACCGGAGGGATAATGTTGTAATTCGCAACCCCCCACCCCACTCTGTTTAATTAAGAAAATTATTTATTCAAACGAAATCGGTTGCTGTCGTCGTTGTTGCTGCTCTCTTTGCTTTACCTTCCTCTCTTTTTATATATAAGCTCTCATTTGGCCTTCCATTTACCCCTTTCTCTCTCAAGGCCAGAGAGACAAGAAAACCAAAATAAAAACCAGATAGAGAGAAATGAGAACAAGGGGAGGGATTTCTTATCCTAGAAGAGGAGTGGCAGTAAACGCTTGTAATACTGCAGCGGAGAAGAGGACATCGTCAACTAATTGTAAGAGGGGGAAACCTGATTTTACCGCCGGAGAATATATGGTTTGCCGGAAAAGGAATCGATTAGTGTCGACGGGAAAAAAAGGAGACACTGACTTGTTCGATTCTTTACCCGATGATCTTGTCATTTCTATCCTCTGCAAACTTAGCTCTTCTACTTCTTGCCCCTCCGATTTCATTAACGTTTTAATTACGTGCGTCCCTTTTCTTCTCTCGCTCTCTCTTTGGATATTTCTTTTTTGTTGGCCGGTGCACTTGAGATTGACCGGAACCGGTTACACTTTTGTTATTTTGATGTGCGAATAGAGAAGCGTTATTTTCTGAATCAAGCTTTTGATTGAAATTGCAGGTGCAGGAGATTAAATGGATTAGGCCTTCATTCACTAGTATTATCCAAAGCTTCTCCGAAATCATTTGCAATCAAAGCCAGCAATTGGTCCGATTCTGCTCACCGTTTCCTCAAACTCTGTGCCGATGCCGGAAATGCTGAAGCTTGTTACACTCTTGGCATGGTAATTATTAATTAAACTAAATACAAGTAATTTTTCAACAAATATCATCGCTCTCAAGACACAGAAAAATTAGTGTTTTATTAGCAGAAGGTATTAATTGGAATTTTTATATTGCGTACAGATTCGGTTTTACTGTTTACAAAACCGGGGGAGTGGCGCTTCTCTAATGGCAAAGGCGGCGATTAGCTCACACGCGTCTGCACTCTATTCACTTGCTGTTATACAATTCAATGGAAGCGGTGGTTCCAAAAGCGATAAAGACCTCCGAGCCGGCGTCGCGTTGTGTGCACGCGCTGCCTTTCTTGGTCACATCGACGCCCTGCGGGAGCTAGGCCACTGCCTGCAAGACGGTTATGGTGTCCGTCAAAACGTAACTGAGGGACGTCGTTTTCTCGTCCAAGCAAACGCGCGTGAACTCGCGGCTGTTTTGTCTAATCCTAATTCTGGACTGCCAACGCGCGCTTGGCTCACGTGGAACCCACACGCACACCCTAACCATCGTCACCCTAGCGAGAACGGACCCAGCGGCTGTCCTTTGTTGAGTGACTTTGGGTGTAATGTTCCAGCTCCTGAGGCTCATCCGGCCAGTCGTTTTATGACGGAATGGTTTGCTATTCGGGGCGGGTCTGCTGGTTCGGGACTCCGTTTGTGTTCTCATACAGGTTGTGGGCGGCCCGAGACAAGAAAACACGAGTTCAGACGGTGTTCTGTTTGTGGAGCCGTTAACTATTGCTCACGCGCTTGTCAGGCACTTGACTGGAAGCTAAGACATAAAGAGGAGTGCGCTCCTGTTGAGAGGTGGGTGGATGAGGATGGTGAAGGAGGGGATGACGCCGGTGGTGTTGGTGGAGGGGAAGGCGATGATGTCATAGTTGAGAGCTAAGTTAAATCTAAAAACGGTTTAACGATGGAATGGGTAGAGACTGACGGTAACGGCGGAAAACCGTGCGTTTTATCGGCCACAAGAAAACGAGGTGACTGAGGTTGCATTAATCCTTTTTCTGTCATGTTTTTTAAGGTTTGTGTAACTTTTTCTTTTTTAATGGGGTCGTCTGAATAGCGCACAGGAATTTTGTTCCCACTTTTGGTTTCTTGTATAGAGAGGGGTATATCGGAGAAAACAAGGGCACCTTTTGTTGTTTTCCTTGTTATTATTATCATTTTTTTTATGGGTATCAAGGCGGTCTCTTATTTTCTCTGTTTTTCCTCTTTTTGTACAATATTTAAACTGGCACCAGTAATTTAAAAATTCAAGTTCCGGATATTTTCTTCTCTCTTTTTTGCCAATTTATTATATGTTTAATTTCTGAGAATAGAACAGGCCGAGTGTTGATTGGTATTCTGACCCTGTTAGAGCAGCTTAAACCTGTTTATCATAATCAATCTAAGAAACGTTCACTTCTTGCTTAAATTTTGATGATTTTTACTTCACGTTATGTTTGTGTTTAGTTGTTGCATCTTGTCCATAATATCTATGCTTCTAAATTATGTATGACTCAGAAATGATGCCAGCGGTCTGAAAAGAGCTGGCTGCGGTCATGATAGGTGATCGTTTTTGGTTTTTCTTTTTTCTTTTTTATTCTTTATTTTTTTGAAAGATCAATAAGAACAAAATTAGGTACAGGGATGGGATGAAGAACCAAACTACCACGTGTATATTACATTTATGCCTCGAAGAAGAGGATGGACAGGCCTTCGCTTTGAGGTAAAGGTAAGGGATTCTCGAACAAGCTTAAACAATAGAGAGAGAGTCAAATTTAAACATGAGATTAACTATAGATGGTGGAGTGATTCAACTGAAAGAGCAGCAGCAGCAGCAAGTTGTGTGTGAGGTGGTGGATCAGATAAAGAGCTCGCCAACAACATGAAAGGATTGCGGGTGACTGATTATTTCCTCTTCTTTTTCTACCAGTACTATTTTCTCCTCAACTTTTTCTAGCTTTTTGGGTGGTCAAAAAGGCCAAGCCACAGACCAAGAAAAAGAAAGATTTGTAAAAAAATAGAGAAAAAGAGAGTAGTGGGAGACATGCATTTTGCAAGTGGAGGAAGTGGTTTGTGTCCAAAGCGTTATTGCTCTAATCACATACAAGAAGAAAGGGAAAAACACAACCCAATTATATTAAATAGAAAAGGGGCATCTTTTCTTTTTTTGGGGGGCGGGGAGGGCACTCATCCATTTGCATTTATTTTTAGCACCATCACACTCGCTCGGTTTGAAAAACAAGGTACTTGTTCATGGGTGGCCCAGGCCCAGCCCATTTAATGCTATCGAAGAGAAATTCCAGCTGTGGTAGAGAGCTATTTTCCAAAGCACGAGACCTGATCGAGCTGGTGATGCCATGCAAGAAACAGATCCATCATGGAAGCTCTGCAGATTTTTCTAGTTGGTTGACAGTGTACTGTATATTCTTCCTTGGTACTGTGCCAGCAAACGCCCATGAAGATCAAGAAAATAAATTTGGGATGTTTTAATTCTGTGATCTCACAGTAAGGATTTCAAGCCACCTAATCTTGCTAGCATGGGGTTAGGTTAAAGGGTACAGACCAGATACCTCCTCCGTTTTTGCAACTGTGATGTGATGGGATTTCCACAAATTAAGTGCGTTAGGAATCCTATTCTTTTTAATATCCTGGTAGCATGGTCGTAATCCACTTGCATATGTACGGGTGCCATCTTCTTCTTCTTCTTTTTGTGTAGAGTTAATGCTGGGAATATTTTCAGCGGTTTAAAAGTGTCCATCACTCTGTGTTTTATCTATTTAAAGTGATTTACGTTTACTAGTTGATAACTTCTAAGATTGATCTGATTTGATTTTCAATTTTTGTATATTATTTATCTCACTGCTAAGAGCACTATTGAATTTAAAAGTTCAAGATAAGCAAATAAAGAACCTTAAAAGCAGCATTTTTTTCTTAACAAATTGAGAAAAAAAGCATCGACGAATTCCCGAACAGCAAACAAAAAGGAGCGTGGATCCCTTTTGCTCTTGAATTATCGGATGGTGTAGTCTCACAAACCGTCAGCCAAGAATACACATATCTGTGTCCTTAAACCCTAGCCCGCATGCAAGATTAGAAGGATAGCTGTTTGGGTTGGACATGATTCGACCACCATTCTTAATTGGCATGGCCCTCCTGGGTTGGCTGACAAGACTACTATCTACAAATCAATCATTAATTAGAAATTTATTTGTTCGTTGACATTTAGGATTTAGTGTAGTTGTTGTTAAACAGGGAAAGGGCAAGAAGTCGCCTTCTTCTTTCGAGACATGAGGGAACAAGGAAACAAAATGAACAGAAGAAGATGTCTCTCTGCGGAGGCCGAAGTCCAGCACAAGAGAACAAGTGTGGAACCAATGGAGGTTGGTGTTGGGATCCATGGACCAAGGAAATGAAACGGTAGAAGATGTCTCTGTGAAGGCTCGAGGAGGTTCAGCAGCCAATACCTGCAGGGCGGGGCTGGGCAGGGTTACAGTTATTGGGCTGCTAATACCTCAAAAAGATTTTCTTTTTTTTCGAAGAGAAAAAACAAGAACCATTTATAAGAATAAAGAACCGGTATTCTTGACACATGCAACCGCGTATCGAATTTTTTTTATAAAAATATTAAAATTAATCCTGTAAAAATAAAAATAAAAAATTGAATAAGACCACCTACATATAGCACAAATTAGTAAGGTATAAATGTGAATAAATATTTTAATTAATGATTGATTAAATGCTAACATGATTGCAGTGGCATTGTAGGCTTTACCTTTTATTTTAAAGACTTTCTTTTCGTAAAAATTGAAGATATAGACACGAATAAGAGTTTATTACACCTTTTTCACGGATTTTTTTTTAATATCATTAGAATTTGACTAGATTTTTAAGTTAATTCCTTTAAAGGAGTAAAAAGGAATATATGAAAAAATTCACAAATTTTTTTATTCATTTTTAACATTTCTATACATATGAAAAAAATCAAAAATTTAATAAATTTTTATGTACTTTATTTTTTTTACATTTTAATTATCTACCTGCTTTTAGTCATCTTGAAAGTCTTGATGGCCAAAATAAAGTATTAGTAAGGTACAATATGGGTTAGGGGTGATTTAAGAAGCTTATTTAATATTATTTAAGGTTTTATATGATGTATAAATAGACAAATAATTAAAAAAACAGGATGAATCTATTTTTTACAATTATATAATACTCTAGTCTTATTTTTAATTAGATATAGAGTTTAAATTATATAGTAGTATTGACACAATTATGGTGTGGACTGATATTTTCAATTATCAAGACCGGGCCTAGCTGAGATAGTTATCTAAGCCCAAGTGTCGATACATTTTAAAATCCAAAAACCTAAAAGTTGGGTGGGCTTCTTAGGGTTTCAGCCTACAAATAAATTAACTCCCGTTCCAAACATTTTGGTCCCGTGAAGATGTGAGACTGCATCTTCCTGCGGACGTGAGTCTCATTCAATATCAATCTCGGCTCAGTTATGAATTCATTTTTTTATTTATTTTAAATTATTTTTTATATATATTTTTATATTATTTTAATATAATTCCAAACAAAAATTATTTTAAAAAATAACTACTTAAATACTTCAAAATAACCCCATGATTTCTTATATGCCCGTGCTACTTTTTGTTCAAGTAGACTGTCTCCATGTTCATGCCACACTATCGTGAGATGAGAAAAAAATAAATTTTAAAAAAAATTATAAAAAAATTAATTAAATCAATTAAAATTTTAGAAAAACTAACTAATTTGATTTTAGTTTTATAAATATAAAATCGAAAAAACTGAATCAAACTAATAAAATTAGGCCAAACTAATTTAAACTGATAAACAATCAAACCGAAATCAACCAGTGTGATATTCTATTCTTAATGCATTCTTACTATTGGGCTTGCACTTCCTTTAGAGAGTGGGTTTAATCGCTGCTCTGTTCTTCTCAGGCCCCTTTTTTTTTTAAAAAAAGGAGTGTTTATGGATCCCGAAGCACATGCTGGGGCCGAAAGGCAAAGTGCAATTCATTCCACGGTGTGGTGATTTCTTTCCTTAATCAAACACCAGGCTACAATGAACAGAAAACAGCAATGTTAAGCAGCATGGCCTATCCCACAGGGAAGAAACCCACCGTAGCAAGCAGGCAAAGGCCTCGTTCCATACAAGAAAGGTGAGAATCAAGGTGAAAGCAACGGCAATGGTTATTATCAAGATCAGCTACTCTTTAACGAGTCTAGGTTTCAAGAAAGGGTTCAGACACGGAAAAAAGTGGATTTGCACACGTAAAAGAAGGGAATCCATGATGATGATGATCATGATGAGCCATGATGCATATACCCACCAAAAATCAAAGAGCTTCTCTTCCCCAGACAGTTGAAATGATTACCCACCGCATCCCATCCATCCTCTTGGTTTTGACGAAACCTAATCATTATAAAACACAACCTCCCCCCCCCTATTCCCTTACCTTTAGCTCCTCCTTCTTTCATCATTACTCTCTCTTTTTACCGCCTCAACCCCCTCCCCCTTTATCCCTCTAATCACACTTTGCTTCTCCCTTTTTATTTTATTTTATTCCTCCAGGTAATTAAAACCATGGAAACAATCCTTTTCGTACTCTTTTTTAATAACTTTTTAAAAAATAAAAATATTATCTTAATATATTTTTAAATTAAAAATATTTTGAAAAGAGAATCACCTAAAAATTCTGAACACTTTAATAATTTTTTTAATTATAATTATTAATTCCAATACTACTAGATTAGGATTGGGTTATTAGGGGGACGAGTTAATAAAAAAAATATCAGAAAAGCATGATGACTTATTTTTTAAAAATTAAAAATTTAATAAATTTTAATACACTCACAATCAATTTATATTTTTTATCCAATTATATACAAGTTAAATTTTCCTGTTTGTTATGAAGCTTAACCCAAATCAAGCTTTGAATTGGATCAACCCGGTACGTAGACCGGGTTTACTGTACTTTTTACCCCCCCCCCCCCCCCCTCTTCGTTTCTATGTCTAGAACAATGCTTAGCAGCCTACTTTATTGAAAAAAATGGAGATTTGAGGAGTGGGGCTGGTGATTTACCAGCAGACAGGTCATGACCAAAAAATAAAAAAAGAGTCAACGATGTTCGGGCCAACTTTTACCAGATTTCAGAGCATTCATATTTGTCCTGGTAAATTTTAAAAATTATTTTTCAATAAGATTATAATAATTATTTGGCAGTCTAATAGATTAATAATTTTAAATATT